TGTTCACTGTTTAGGGTTCAGGGGTCTAGGTGTCCTGTCTAGGGATTGGGCTCTTTAACGGATTAATGCTGGCATGAGCTGCTCCCCGTTTATTATCACACATCCACTCAGTTCAAAAGTTTGGGATCAGTAAGACTTTTTTTTTAAAGAAGATTCTTCTGCTCATCAAGGCTGCATTTAATTTATTCAAAAATACAGAAAAAACAGTAATATTGTGAAATATTATTGGAATTTAAAATAACTGTTTTCTGTGTGAATGTATTGTAAAATGTAATTTATTGCTGTGATGTAAAGCTGAGTTTTCAGCATAATTTCTCCAGTCTTCAGTGTCACATAATCTTCAGAAATTATAATAATATGCTGATTTATTATCAGTGCTGGAAACAGTTGTGCTGCTTAATATTTTTTTGGAACCTGTGATACTTTTTTTCAGGATTCTTTAATTAAAGCAGCACTATGTACCTTTTGGCGCTCTAGCGGTTAATAAACAGAACTGCACACATCCCGCGGAAGAACATTCCAACCGGAGCTACTTCTCTAAGTTTATGTCTATGGCGATTCACGCAGGTATGTGTTACTCCGCAGCGGTGTCGACCCGACCAGGCTACAATAGTCCAAATATAAGTACTTATTGTAAGTGTACCGTAGTGATTCGGAATAAGACAAAAACGCGGTTTGGAAGATGAATTCATGATGTACTCGCTCATTATATACATGTTGAACACAGAAACAGTTACATAGTGCTGCTTTAACAAATAATTGTAAAAAATACTTCAAATTGACATCAAAAAACAGTTCAAATGTGCAAATCAAGCTGATGTCAAAAACTTGACACGATGTTGATTTGATGTAAACTGAACGTCAAACATATTGACCTATAGCTATATTCATTAAACCAGTTTCAGTGTGGGACTAACTTCCTATTTTCACCCAATTACCACTGAAAGAAATTACCATCTGAAATGAATTTAAAAGGATGTTACAGCACCTTGATCAAGTCTTGACTAATATCTGACATTAAACCCGGAAACAATTTTGCATTTTTAGTTTTTTTTTTTTTTTAGGTAAATGCCTGAAATAAGGTCTGTGGTTAAAACAAACTTCAGATATTTTCACATCTTATTCTATGACATAAAATACATCAGTAATACCCCTTGTGATTTTTTTAAAAGTTTTACTTGTCTTCAAAAGACTGTTGCTAACAGAGTGGTTAAATGAGACTACAGAGGTTGATAGTGACATTCAGATAAACTCACTAGTCCACTTTTATAGCCTCATTTGTAATCACACTCTTGCAAACTAGTCCAACTCAACCTTTCAGGGAATTTTTTTTTTTAACAAAGACTGAAAGAGCTGTCAGAAGCTTAATGGTGGCGGCGTTGAAGACGTGACTGTTGTGTAGTTCGTTTATAGCCTACATTTAGTTAGTCATTTTTGATTAAGGCCTTTAAAATTCATAAAAGTTGCATTCATTTGTGAAGATTATCATGATGGACAAAACATGTAAGAATCATAACAGATCTTATTTTCTGCAGTAATCCAAAAGCCAATGGAAACATCCTATTGGGTTTTTGTGGATGGAACCATGATATATATGCCATCTCAGTAATTTAAAAAAATTACTTCTATGTTTGTATTACACCTCCTTTGATCATTATTAGTTGCTTGAAAGGTTTGTACATATCATAGCTGCTTGATCAGGTCATATAATTCCACATATTCTCACATACACCAACTAAGCATATTAGTATTGAGCTACTCAGAAGGTATGCAAACAAACAAATGGATTTTCTTTAAAGAAAAAAAGTAGAAGGGAAGTGAAGACTGCGGAGGAGAGACTAAGAGAACTTTCTTTGTTAGGTTACCAGCTGAAAAATCCTGACTGTCAGACAAAACTAGATAGTTTAGAAGTCAAGTCTGAAACTGTATTGTTAAATGAATGTCCAAGGTCACAGCTTCCTCATTAAACTGGTTCGTATAGTAAGAGAACTGTTTTATTGATTTCTAAAAATTGTTTCATGCTTTGCTGAAGCTATCTTAACATGTGAGAAAACAAGCCATTTTAGATATGGAGATTACTGCCTTGATGAAATACTATGGAGCATGAACCAGTACGACAAGTTATGTGGACTTACAAAGGGCTGGTTTCTCAAAACAAATTTAACTGTAGTGTTCTATTTAATTTAATGTAATACAAGTTTTCTGTCTAGGGGAGTGACCAGACCTTTTTTTAACCAAATTAATCATTCAAATTACACCTTAAAAAGTTTTTGGACACTAAAGCCCCAATTAAAAAGGTATAAATCTCTTTGCATTATAATACAAAATTATATGAAAATACATAATTATAAACAAACACACTTTTCAGTCAAAACATTCAAGAATTTGTTGTTTCAAAAAAAAAAAGAGAAAGAAAGAATTTAGACACTTCTACACTCAGGAATTATGTTGAGCACTTGAATTGTCGTCGTTTTGGACGTTTTGGACATCATTATTATTTTGCAGATTCTTAAGTGTGCTGACAACTTTGTTAGGGAGTTGAGATGAAAGACAAAACCTAACATAACTTTACTTTTTAACCATATAAATACCACAGGAAAGGCTGTAGGTTAATTATACAAGTGGCGCGCACCATCTTCTGGTCTGTTTCATGCGTCTGGAGATACCTGCAGAGTTTAGTTCCAACACACCTGGCTGTCATTATCAAGTAAACCCAAATACTTGGATTACTTGATTCAGATGCAACTAAATAGTGTTGAATCTGAACTCTGCAGGAAAGTGGCTCTTGACACAGAGACATGATAAAGCCTCTATTCCATCTTTGTGTTCCAGAGGTCTCAACAGGTTACGTTATTAGGACAGTGTTTGAGTCTGTGCTGAACTGCACAACTGAAGCATTTGTCCATTCATTGCCCAGCAGATCAACGCTGTCATTTGCCTATCAAAAAAAAAAAAAAAGTTTATTGTTTGTTG